CATTACAAAGGTCGTCCTCCTTGATCCAGTTAACGAGTCAGAACTCTTCTCCCAATCAGCAGAGAGCCCCGCAGGTCATCGGGGTCATGCAGAGTCAAAACAGCAGTGCAGGCAACCGGGGACCCCGGCCACTGGAGCAGGTCACTTGTTACAAGGTGAGTCCCAGGACTTGGGGACAGGGTGGGGTCTTCTCTCTGGTCATTGACCATTCCCTCCTTCCCCAGATGTGTGGTTGGTTACTTTTGAAAAGTGAAAACTTTGGTTTTTGCTGATTGTAAAAATAATGGTGGGCCACTATAGTAGTCTGGAGACCATCCTACTTCCTCCAACACATCAAGACATAGTGCAGGGTAATAAAATATTGCTGCTAAATGAGTGGACTGTGCTTGCAAGGAAACGAGAGATCTTTAAGTGCTAGGGAACAAAATGGAAACAAATCCAACGAAGAGTGATCCTTGAAGCTTTGTCTGCCCCACAGGCATCCTTAGATCATGCATCCAGGCACACTCAAGGGAATAGGACAAAGCTTTTTGCCTATGATGGAGGAACTGGATTGGGAACACACACTCCACACCTCTTAACCTAAAGTGGGACACTCGGGGAAAGGGTGAATTTAAACAAATCTACTAGAAAACTTTCTCATTCCTGGCTGTGGGTGGAAAGGAGAAACAATTCCTGAGAACAGGTAGTTGGTAGCTGATCCTTACATGATTTGGGGCCTGTGTTCACATCCTTGGTGAGAGCTAAAAGTCACAAACTGAGTTTAATCTATAATTGGCTTCCTTGGAGTATACCCGGGCTCCCAGAAGGAGCTCTGAGGGGTATATTCTCAACCCTAGCCATACAGAATCCCCACAGAGTTCCAAAGAATGAGTTCATGTTTAAAAACTCAGAAAACATAGCTGGATATAGTGGTGCACATCTATAATCCAAGTAACTCAGGAGGCTGTGGCAGGAGGTTCATAAGTTCAAGGCCAGCCTTGATAACTTGGTGAAACTGTCTCAAAAGAAAAAAATAAAAGGGGCTTGGGGGTGTAGCTCAGTGGTAGAGTACTTTTCTAGCATGTGCAAGGTCCAGGACTCAATCCCCTGAACCAAAAAAAAAAAAGACACAGTGGCACATGCCTATGATTCTAGCAGCTCAGGAGGCTGAGGCAGGAGAATCACAAGTTCAAAGCCAGCCTCAGCAATTTAGGGAAGCCCTAAAAGCAACTTAGCAAGACCCTGTCTCAAGATAAAAAAGGACTGCAGACGTGGTTTAATGGTTAGGTGCCCCTGGGTTCAATCCCTAGTACCAAAAACAATAATAATAAAAACAAACAACAGAAAGAATGTTTTTTACTCCACTACTTCAGTTTTTGAAATTTTTGCAGCAGGGTCTCATTAAGTAGCTAAGGCAGTCCTTGAACTTGCAATCTTCCTGCCGAGCCTCCTAAGTATGGGGAATATGGGAGTGCGCCATTGCACTCGATTTGTTCTTTTGCTCCTAATAACAGTGCTGTATCATTTGTGAGCTCTTGTCTGATGTCACTGGCATCCAAGTCAAAGGGCATGTATTTAAAATGTCCATCCAGCTTGTCCTCAGGAAAGACTGGGCCCCAGGACTCTACCACAGCAGCCAGGCATTCCTTGAGCTGCTCTGTCCAGCAGAAACATGCATTCCTGGGGCTGAAGAAGGCAAGTGCTTTAAAAGCACTCAAGGAAAAGTGCATCTGGATTCAGAGAAAGCCTCTCTGGGGAAAGTTCTGAGCCTAAGCCTTAAGATGTGAAAAGAGCAAGGAAAGGGAAAGATCTGGAAAAGGCAAGATGGGTGGAAGGCATGCCTTACTAAATTGCTGAGGCTGATCTAGAACTTGAGATTCTCCTGTCTTAGCCTCCTAAGTCACTGGGATTACAGGTGTGCACCACTGCGCTCGGCTCATGCTGTTAATATTAAAAATACTTCATGTGAATCCTAGATTCCTGGGAACAACTATGAAGACCAATGAATGTGCTGGGTCCTGGGAGTGGGGCCTTGTGGTTATGCTTTCTGGTGATCATATTAGCCTAAGGGCCAATTATCCATGAAGTCACACCTACAGATTAAACAGATCTTAAAAACATGAGACTGCAGTGTAGGATAACAGAATAAATAGGGGCACTGGGTAGGGATAGTAGAACCCCTTTATATTGTTACACACCAGGGAAGCAGGGAGTGGGGATTATGGGAACAGAGTTGGGGAGGGCAATGGGGATTAGCATCTGCACCCTCCAGATGCCTCTTGAGCCTCTGTTTCATGCTTGAGGTTGCCATTCACTTAGATTTCCCTTCTGTTTTAAGTCTCACAAGGATATAGACACTATGGGAGGTCCTGGATAATCAGCCAATATAAATCAGGGTCAGTGTTAGATGTGTCAGAGGTGACGCTATCAGCTCCACTCACCCAAGTCTAATCATTGTCCCATCTTTGACCCTGTGATTAAAACCTGTTCTCATGGGTAGCTTAGACAGTTGTGCAGGAGCCAGGAGAGAGCCGGGCACAGTGGCACACACCTATAATCCCAGAGGCTCTAGAGACTAAAGTAGGAGGATTGAGAGTTCAAAGCTAGCTTCAGCAATTTAGGGAGGCCCTCAGCAACTTAGCAAAACCCTGTCTCTAAATAAAATATAAAAAAGGACTAGGGATGTGGCTCAGTAGTTAAGCACCCCCAGGTTCAATCTGCAATACTTTAAAAAAAAAAAAAAAAAACAGGAGGGAAAGTGTCAGTACAGCCCACCCTGTGTCCACAGCCATGGCTCCCAAAGCTGGGGAAGGAGCCTGGTAGCTTCTCTTGCGTTGTTCCCTCCCCATCTCCTCAGGGAGGCCCCAGACGTTGGCTCAGAGGTAAGTGACTGACTGGCCTGTGTGCAGAGAGGGCCGAGAGCTCTGATGCCGTGGACTTCTCTTCGTCCTGCCACCCACTTGTGAGTCCTTCCCAGGCAGGCCCAGGTCTGGTGCAGGTGAGGTACAGGCTGAAGGGGCACCTTGCTGGGCTCTCAGGTCACTCTGGTGACCTTGCTGGCTGCAGTTTCTGTACCACTGCACCTTTCTTGAGATTCCTCTGCTTGTGTTTGAAAGGAAATCTTGCCACAGAATTTCAGGGTTCTCCCTAGCTTGGTATTTGGTGGGTACTGCCTTAGTTGAAAATTACATTTGAAAATGGTGTTGTATTTTTCTCTCTCCTTCCCCTTCTGCTGTTCCCAGTGTGGTGAAAAAGGACACTACGCCAACAGATGCACCAAAGGGCACTTGGCCTTTCTCAGTGGACAGTGATGGCAGCTGGAGTCAGCTCAGAGCAGCCTGAGGGGCCCTGCTGTTGGGTGTGTGCACTGCCTGCTGAATGTAGTGTTGGTGCAGCTGACTAAAGCCAGCAAGCATGCTCACTGGGGCTTGTCGTTCTGAGGGGCCACAACTGTTAAGTTTCCTATCATTTTGCTGTAATCTCTTTTTAAAAAGGGACATGTGCTTCGTTGTGTCCCCAAGTCGACATCATGTTTGCCTGGGCTTCCACGCCTCTTTTTCTGGGACTCCCTGCACACCTACCCTCCAGGGGGAGGATGTAGTTGAGGAAGGGCTTGTGCTATGCTGTTGTGTGTGGAAGGTGGCCTTTCCCCTCAGGGGCTCGTTAAACACCAGTTCTTGGAGAGCCCGGGGATTGGTGGATCATTCAGAGCTGTGGCAGGTCATGCCAGCTTCCACTGCGTCCTGCTGAATCCTGAAGCTGTGCCTATCAATGTGATTTGAACAAGGGAGCCCTTCCTGACAAACTCAGTGCACTCACTGCCTCAGCCTAGCCCTGGGCCCAGGTGGCAGCAGTTGAGGGCTGCAGGGCTCTCTAATTTGAGGTTCTGTCTTCTGGGCTTATTTTCTCATGGGGCCCTGATGATGTTGAAGGTATTCTTCAGCCAGAGCCACACACCACCCTTTAAATAGCTGATCCATTTGCGCCTACCTCCTGCTGATCAAGAGTCTGTACTGTCACTCAGACACCTGTGGCATGCAGAGGAGACTGCCCTGCCCTTGAGCCTGGAAAATGTGAAACCATCACCTGCAACCTGCTGGGCAAGTGGGCCTATCAAAGTTCAATTACAAGAACAATTTTTATGAAGTTGATTAAAGCTTGTTTTTTAAGCGGTGTCTCATTACTTATGGGGACTGTGTGCTGGGGAGACCCACAGGCTACACTAGCTGCCTGGCATAAAGTGGTGATTGGTGCTTTCTCATCTCTTTGAAAGAGAATCTCACAAAGAGCAGTGGTGCTGCCTAGACGGGCCCTTGTACCCAAAGCTGGCAGGTCTCACCCCTGTCAGCTGTTGGGTGATGCCTATTCATCCAGATTCAGCCCATCTAGGGGATCCTGGACATGACATTGCCCTCCCCAGCCTGTCCCCCATAGCCTGCACCCAGCACAGTGTATATGCTTACTGTTGGCCCCTCAGTAAGGAAGTGGTGTCGGTCTACATGCACCTAATGTCATCTGAAGCCCTCTGATGAATAGGGGGCAGCCCACATCAGGTCTGTGCGTTTCCCTCACCCCTACCCAACTGAGCTCCCTGCTACCAAAGCCATCTTACCAGGAAGCCTATGTTTCCTAAGGGCTCTCCAAATAGTGCTTGGTGACCTGGCCCGGGAGCCCCTGATGCCCTAGTTTGTGCAGAAAAATAAGCAAAGAGAAGACTTCGCAGTCATCTGAAAACCCCCCCGCCTAGAGCTTAGATGGCCAGGGATGAGATCTGGCATTTTCAGGGACACAGGCTGGCTTTGAACTTGTGATCCTCCTGCCTCAGTCTCTCAAGCTGCTAGGATTAGTCTGTTGGCTTTCTGTCTGTTGGCTGACAAAGGCCACAGTATCTCCAAATGCCCACAACACTCATGGCAGCCAGCCCAAGCGATGGGGGCTCCAAGGATTAAAGCCCTGGGTGTCTGACGATCTCACACCTCGGAGTGAGGGTGATAGGCACATCAGGCAAACAGCACACATACCAGTCACCTTTTATTGGATATTAATTCTCAGGAGTACATAATATGGTCTCCACACTGGCCCCTCTTCAATGGTACTTTCGTCGCCGCTCGTGCTCTGAAATGAGGGGAAAGGGCAAGTTTTTTAGAAGGTATTCTGGTGAAAACACAAGCCTTCAAGAGGACAGAAGCTTTAACCATGCAGCCTTCCTATGAGTTCCTTTCAAATGACCCAGAACCTGTCTGCACAGTCAGCTGACCTGGGGCCACAGAGACATCTCAGGAGCCAACTGCCACCTGGCCAGCCTCTTCCAGGAACACCCACTTAGTCAAACAACCTTTAGAGGAAGCACTGGCTCAATACAACAGGTTGGCAGGGGCTAGATGCTACCAGGAACAGACTGGAAAACCACTGATATTTCCCAGAATCTCAACAGGTATCTCAAGCCATGCTGCATATCATCTGAGACCATCTTAGGTCTTAGAGCCAGGAAAGTTTTTCCAGAACACTACACAGACAATGGATTCTACCACTCAACCCTCTGTGCACAGGCTACCAGGAAGACCAAGCCAAATTTTAGCAAGAGCCTGAAGGATCTTAGAGAATGCTTAACAACTATTACCTTTACCCTAGCTTCATCTTGTTTCACCTGTGTTCTTGTCACAAACTTCTCACTTAAAAACAGTACCCTAAGCCAGGCGTAGTGGCACATGCCTGTAATCCTAGCAGCTTGAGAGACTGAGGCAGGAGGATCACAAGTTCAAAGCCAGCCTTAATACCTGGTGAGGTGCTAAGCAACTCAGTGAGACCCTGTCTCTAAATAAAATACAAAAATAGGTCTGGGGGTCTGGGGCTGTAACTCAGTGGCAGAGCACTTGCCTAGCATGCGGGAAGCACTGCGTTCAATCCTCAGCACCACATAAATATAAACAAATAAAATAAAGCATTCTACTGTCCATCTACAACTACAAAAAAAAATAGGACTGGAAATATGGCTCAGTGGTTGAGGGCCCCTGAGTTCAATCCCAGTATCCAAAAAATATTTCCCCCTATTCTTTAAATGGAAGTGTAGGCAAGAAACATACTAAAGGTCCCTCAGCTGGCAGAAAGTGAACTACCATATCTAACAAAGCAAGCCATCACCACAATCTCACGGAAAGCTGGAGGCAAGATAATGCAAGAAGCACTCACTGAGTTCTTTGTAAGAAAGGCAGTAGCTGAAAAGCACGTATGCTGCCAGCACCATGTTGACCCCTGCGATGCTCCCCTTCTTCACGTTGATGTATTTGTTGTAGTACCGGTGGTAACCTGCAACAGAAGAGGCATTCACTGCCCTGCTCTGCTGAAAATGCTTTCTGTAATGCACAATTTGAGGATAACTGGGATTCAGGGACCCAGTCCTACTCTGGCTCTTTAATTCACTCACCCTATATTCCCTAGCTGATAAAGGTGCCTGGGGGACCTACAGCACAAGGACAGCTCCAATACTGGGTCCGCCTTGTACCTGGATCTACCCTTTGGCCTTACTCTCCTAGATAGGATCTAGCTTGTCTGCCTTGGATCCTACCTCACTTTGTCTAGCCCTTAAAAATCCCCTTTACCCTAATGTTGACTAATTCTGTCCCAGATTCCAACTCCTTTATAAGGGGCCCCATGGTTGTAGCAGCTTCAACAACCAGGCCTCTGAGGAGGAGGACTTCCCTGCATTCCTCTCTTCACTGGGTTGCCTAACAAAATAGACATGTACCCACCAGAAGGGAAACAATCACACTGGTTGATGAAAAAGAATGTGATGGTGGTCCTAGTTTAAAACAGCGAGGGAGGCTGGTGTGGTGGCATATTCCTGTAATCCCCACTACTTGGGAGGCTGAAGCAAAAGGATTGCAAATTCGAGGCCAGCCTCAGCAATTTAGCAAGATACTGGCTCAAAATTAAAAATTTTAAAGATTTAAAAAAAAAAAAAGACTGGGGATGTAGCTCAATAATAAATGAACCCTGGGGTTCATTCCCTAGTACCAAAAAAAAAAAAAGAATGCCCCAAAGGAATTAGGCAGGGAGCTCTGAGCATGAATAGGCCACATTCATTCACTCCCTGGGCAAAAGTGGGGGAACAGGCAGAGTACTCTGATATCATGGTAGAGCTTGAGGAAAAACCTTAGGGAAGACTAAGGCAGTCAGAATCCAAAAAACAGAGGGAGGGGACCCCAATAGGATGATCTGGGTCTTTCTTCATTGAAATGATATGATAAATTACACAGGACTGACCTGAATAGTCCAGGGGTGCTCTATCACTAAGCTACATACCCAGCCTTTTTATATTTCCTTTTGAGATGGGGTTTCTTACTAAGTTGCCCAGGCAGGCCTCAAACTTGCAATCCTCCTGCCTCAGCCTTCTGAGTTGCTAGAATTAAAGGCCACTAGCCCAGCTTTTAATACTGTACTTTATAAATGCACAGACCTGAAATATGGGCAATTTCAAATATTTGTCTTGGAAGTTCAAGCAAGAAGATAAACATGATACGACTGATGTCCAGCTGGGTGTGGTGGCACACACCTATAATCCCAGCAGCTCAAGAGGCTGAGGCAGGAGGATCACAAATTTGAGGCCAGTCTCAGCAACTTAGTGAGGCCCTAAGCACTTAGCAAGACTCTGTCTCAAAATTTTAAAAAAGGGGAAGGCGGGGATGTGGTTCAGTGGTTAAGTACCCCTGGGCTCAATCCCTAGTACCAAAAAAAGATTGAGCCGGGCATGGTGGCACATACCTATAATCCCAGCAGCTAGGGAGGCTCAGGCAGGAGGATGGCAAGTTCAAAATCAGCCTCAGCAAAAGCAAGGCACTAAGCAACTCAGTGAGACGCTGTCCCTGAATAAAATACAAAATAGGGCTGGGCTCAGTGGTTGAGTGTCCCTAAGTTCAATCCCCAGTACCAAAAAAAAAAAAAAAAAAAGAATGATGTCTACCATGATTTAAACTCATTTTCTTCTAGAACAACTGGGCATAAAAATGCTAACAAACATTTCTCTTAGAAGCAGAGGTGCTAATTCCAAGCAACCAAACATTTCTTGGCTGAAAATATCTCAGGGCCAGCCTTTGATAGGGCCAATCAAATATAGAAATTCAAAGGCTGACCACCTCTCACTGTCCTTTTCTAAAAACTTAAGTCTTTTTTTTTTTTGTACAGGGATGGAACCCGGGGCACTTAACCACTGAACCACATACCCAACCCTTTTTGTATTTTATTTTGAGACAGGGTCTAACTAAATTGTTTAGGGACTTGCTAAATTGCTGAGGCTGGCTTTGAACCTATAATCCTCCTGCCTCAACCTCCCAAACCACTAGGATTACAGGTGTGTGCCACTGCGCCCAGCTCAGACTAGTCTTGAGACCAAGTTTTTATTGTCCAAGTTAATTCATTACAAAAAGAGACCTGATAACTCAGAGATTTGCTTGTTTATGTATCCTTAAGATTCTGACCTCTCTGAAATGCTCCCACAATGCCTTTAGGGGTGAAATCCCGCATCAATATCCAGCTTGGCAACTCCCCTAGTTTGACATCCATGAGTTTCTTCTCTTTCACTGGCACTGAAAAGAACAAAAGAAGACACATTGAATAACCTAGAATATAAATAGCATCCTTTTATGTCACTATTTCAACTATTCAATGGAGGTGCACTATATAACTACATAGAGACTGCACTATTATTCATAATAGGAATAAATGTTACAGAGAAACCACTATTTTAAGCCTAAGCCTTTGTAGCAGCTGCTACAGCAACAGCTTTATGAAGAAACAAGATATCTGAATAACAGCTAAGAGCTCTAAGGACAACCAGGAAGAACACAATAAAGAGGACAAAATAGATGACTATAAAACTAACATTTATTTTACCCTATTAATTTTATTTATTTATCACAAGTAGTTGATGCATTTACTTTGGTGGAGGGGTGGGAGTCAGACTCAGAGAGGTTAAACAATTTGGCCAACGACACACATAGAGCACAGAGGCAGGAATGAACCTCAGGACTGGCCTTGTAGCCCTGAAGCCAATCTGAGGATGGGTTTATTCAATCCCTGAGGATCTGTGGCCCAAGAATGCTAAGGGATAAGAAGAGAAGTGGGATGTGTCCTCAAGTGCCTCAGTCTTACTGGATGCCCTTGACTGGCTTTGAGAAGTACCTGTCAACCTTACCAGGTATGTAGCCTGAGACTGTTCAATAAAGGAATCTAAGGGATTCCTACCTGCCTAGGACCACAGAGGTCAATGATTTCCAGAGGTAGAAATAAAAGACTACATATTTCAAGAAGTCAAATGACTTGCTAAAAACCTCTCCAAATGGTTTAACAGGCCATATTCCAGTGAGTCTGGGGACAAAACAGAAGAACTTCTGGTTGAAGACATATTATACTCATCTCTGGGTCAAGAAAACAGGGGGGTTAAGAGGGCATGGACCTGGGGTGTCCAATGGTCTCCCCTTATCCTCCCAACAAAGACCAACTTCTAAAAACTTTTAGGTGTCCCCTTCAGGGCAAAAAATCCAAGAGCACTGTCCTTTTTTAAAGGTGACTTATGGCTTATTCTAAATGGCTTATTCCAAAGAGTAAATGAGAATTGAGGTAATGGCATTTAGAACAGTGCCTGCAACACTGTAGACTGCTAGTATTGTTTAAATCTTAATAATCTCCTCCTCTCACAGGAGGAGCCAGACTAAAACACTCCAAGGTTTCTTCTCCATTTTGGGAGCCAAAGAAAGATTAAGACTCCTTCTAGACCAGCCTCAGGAGTCCACTGAGGGGAATTCCAGTCCTCTGACAGCTCTAAGTACTTAACAAGAGCATTGGCTTCTAAGCCTTAAACAGAAATGCATGCTTCATGGCCAGCTTCTAAGTCTGCTCCTCTGGAGAGCCAGATATACAGGCTTACAGAGTTTCAACACTGAATGCTTGTCCACAGGACAAGGGGTTGGCATTGGCTTCTCACTTGCATGCATGGCTCAAGGGACACCACTTAGGATGCCACCCCCAAACTGGCCCTCACCTTCCATCTGTCCTTATCCAAATAATATGGAGCACCTACTGTATGTCATGCAGTGTGCTAAGCACTACAGATATGGCAGGGACAGAGAAAAAGGACAGAGGAAAGCCTTGATCTCAAGGTGCTAACATTCTTCTGGTGGAACAATGACCTACCACATTCTTCCCAGGCTCACAGTTCTACCCTGTTATTCTCACTTGAGTGTCTTTGTAAAAGTAGTTCTCTTAGATTATCACAGGGCTGTCTCAAATGTCTTCATATAGACCTCCTTCCCCACCTGTCCTATCTCAAATAAACACCATTACTTTCTTCCATGAGGTTCAATTTCTTTAACTATGAAATGGCTTACTCCAAAGAGTAAATGAGAATTGATGTAATGGCATTTAGAACAGTGCTTGCAACACTGTAGACTGATATTATTGTTTAAATCTTGATAAAGTCTATCTACGTGAAACATCAAAAAGAACAGGGCTGGGGTTGTAGCTCAGTGTTAGAGCCCTTGCCCAGCACATATGAGGCACTGGGTTCAATTCTCAGCACCACATATAAATAAATAAAATAAAGGTCCAATGACAACTAAAACAAGTATTAAAAAAAAAAAAAAAGGAAATAGACAAAGCAATGGCATATAAACCTGAACTTTGTTTTATGCATATGGACTTTCAGGGATTAATTATAGCCCTTAGTTCCTCTAGAAAGAGAAAGCTGTGGTTATTTTGGGAATAGCTATAAAATATGGACTACTTATAAAATATGAAACAGTCTCAAAGGTCTTCTTCCTCCACCCAAACAAAACAAAACAAAAAAGTGAGTTTTCAAGATCCACTTCAAGTTGCTACTGGAGAGTTTAGTGTCACTGATATTAAAGCTTAACACCAAACAATAATGTCATCCAAGAATGACCTATACCCTTCTCTAACTTGTACATGTTGTTTCTAGAAAAGTTTAACAAACATACATCTTACATCCCAATTTTGTCCTCATTTGGAATGATAAGGTTTTAGTCCCAGGGAAACTATACCACTTTTCTTTTTGAATAAGAACACAGGAGATTTATAGATCAGGGGTACAGCACTTGCCTAGCATGCATGACACCCTGGGTTTCATATTCAGCACTAGAAGGAAAAGAAAAAAAAAAGCCAGAATGTTGCAAACTGTTGAAGCTGGTAAAGAGTAGGAAGCATTCTTTATATTACTTTCTTTCCTTTGAATTTGAAATCATCACTAATTAAAAAAAAAAAAAAAAAGCTTTAAACTACTTACAAAAATAGAACTATATTACAAGAGTCACAACAAAGAAAAAAACATATTTTATTGGTACCAGGGATTAAACCCAGGGATGCTTAACCACTGAGCCACATCTTTTTATATTTTATTTAAGAGACAGCCCCGTTTTTTATATTTTATTTAGAGACAGGGTCTCGCTGAGCTGCTTAGGGCCTCACCGATTTGCTGAGGCTGACTTTGAACTCAGGATCCTCCTGTCTCAGCCTGCTGAGGTGCTGGAATTACAGGTATGCACCACTAGGCTAGAAAAAAATAACAACAACCAAAAAAATAAAATGTATTTTAAATCAAAGTATTTTCAATTCAAGTAAAGCTGGTGACTTAAGGAAGAAAAAAAAAGAAAGAAATTACTCTGGGCCTAGTGAAGCTAATTTTTCCCATTCATAAAATGTAAACATTCTGTATGTTCATGATCATGTACAGGGGCTGCCATGGTGGCTGGGGAAAAAAAGCCAACACTCTGGGGCTGGGGTTGTGGCTCAGCAGTAGAGCGCTTGCCTAGCACATGCAAGGTGTGGATTCAATCCTCAGCACCACATAAAAATAATTAAATAAAATAAAGGTATTGTGTCTAACTATATCTAAAAAATATTTTTTAAAAAAGCCAACAATTGGGCTGGGGCTGTAACTCAGTGGCAAAGCACTTGCCTAGCATGTGTGAGGCACTGGGTTCGATCCTCAGCACCACATAAAAATTAACAAATAAAATAAAAGCATTCTGTCCATCTACAATAAAAAAAAAAAATTAAAAAAAAAAAAAAGCCAACAATTGGGCTGAGGTTGTGGCTCAGTGGTAGAGTGCTGGCCTAGCATGTGTGAGGCATTGGGTTCGATTCTCAGCACCACATATAAATTAATAAATAAAGGCCCATCAACAACTAAAAAAATATATTTTTTTAAAAAAAGCCAACAATTTAATATTTATTTTTCTACCAATTTATATATCTGTACTATGAAGACAAGAATATTTCCTTAAAATATTTAAAGGCAGAGAGGTATAAAAAAAAGAAAAGAAAAAGAAAAAAGCAACACATTGGCCTTAAGAAGAGTCAAATACAGCACCATCACAAGGGCTATGCAATTCAGAGGTGCACTTACTGCAAGAACTTCTATTTTGGTGGAAGACAAAGTCCTTGGTCCTTGGCAGCCAAACTAGAACTCCTTCCCCAACATGCCTCTACAGCAAGGGAACATCCATCTACTATCATGGTTCACCTAAGATGCACTAGAGTATGGTGACAAATAGCAGACTCCAGATCAAGTATTCTGCTTTTAATACCACTCGTTAGCTATGTGTCCTTAGGGAAAGTTACTGCTCTCTCCATGTCTCAGTTGCCTCCTTTGTAAAATAAGGGTAATAACAGTATTGATACTTGGGTCTAGGAATTATGTAAATGAGAACTATTATCTTTCTGCCGATTATGAATACTTGAAGGAACATTCCCACGTATAGTTCCTGGTACAGGACACCTTCAGTAATGGTTGTAGAACAATCTTAAGTTCTTGAGAAGGTAAGCAATTTTATGGCTTAGAGAGGTATATTACCCACTTACCATGGAACTGTAGGGAAAAAACAAGTGTTTCCTGGATGCTAAACCCAACCCAGAAATTGGCCAGTGAGTAAAGATTTTAGGCTTTGCATGCCACATAAGGTCTCTGTAACAGTCTTTTTAAAGTTATTATTTATTTACTTATGTAAAACAACTCTTTGTTGGGAAGTGTCCACCTATAATCCCAAGTACTTGGGAGTCTGAAACAGGAGGATTCCAGGTTCAAGGCAACCTTTGCAACTTAGCCAAACCCTGTTTCAAAATAAAAACCAAAAAGAGCTGGGGGCTGGGGCTGTAGCTCTGTGGCAAAGCACTTGCCTAGCATGTGTGAGGCACTAGGTTGGATCCCTAGCATAAATAAAAATAAACAAAATAAAGGCATGCTGTCCATCTAAAACCACACACAAAAAAAAAATTAAAAAAACAGCTGGGCATGTAGTTCAGTCATGGGGACCACTGGGTTCAATCCCTAGTACCACTAAAACAACAACCAAAAAGCTTTCAAAAACAACACTGGGTCTGGAGATGTAGTTCTGTGATGAAGCGCTTACTGAGAATGCTTGAGGCCCTGGGTTTAATTCTAGAACCCCTCCCCCCACAAACACACACAAAATATAGCTGAGGGCCACACTTTGCCAACCCCTATCTACTGCTGATAATTCACATTTCCCTCACTTTATCTACTATTGAACTAGTGGCTCTGAGCTCTGGCAACAGACATCATCTGAATGATCATCAGTATTGAGCAGACAAACTTCAACTTCTTCACCTGGGATGATGGTGAATAGGCCGTAAATGTGACATGACCTTCACCAAACACCACAAAGTAAACACTAGAATGACCAGCCCTCCTCTATAGGCCAGGCAGTGTTCCAAGTATCTTACATGTACTAAATTGTTTAATCCTTATAGTCCACAGCACTCTTCATTTCAACCCTCTACTTAAATAAGATGCTAACCCTCAAAGCTCCCCTTTCACACCTCTTTGGAGCACAAATAATCTCATGCCCATTTTACAGATGGGAAAACAGCTTCACTCTCCCCTTTTTGGATCACCTCTTCATTTTTCCAGGCTGATATTAAGAATACAGAAAAGAGGAGGTAGGAGGGAGGAGAGAATGGAAAAAGGAAGGTACTGGGCAATGAGATCGATCAAATTATGTTGTATGCATGAATGAGAGTGGCATAATGAATCTCACTGTATATTATGCACCAATATAGAAACAAGATACACATTGAGTTAAGAAAAACTCTGCCACTATGAGAGGGTGTGACCTCAGGCCACACCTCATCTCAGACCGTTATTTTCCCTCATCTTTAAAACTAGGACCTCGGGGCTGGGATTGTGGCTCAGTGGTAGAGCGCTTGCCTGATACGTATGAGGCACTGGGTTAGATTCTCAGCACCATATATAAGTAAATGAATAAAATAAAGGTTTATCAACAACTAAAAAAAAAAAATAGGACCAAAGTTCCCAGTAACTGGCTCCCTGTTAAGTTCCTGGGAGGATCTAGAGCTAAAACATGGCTTCCTGTTAAAAATAATGTGTGCACAGTGGACGAGCGTACAAACTGACATATGCATTGTCTTGGAAAAGCCTGCAGATCCTAAGGCCACCCTTGAGAATTAAGTTCATTACCGTGAAGCCCCACACGGTAATGTTTGAATCCCAGCTCCGGTTCTCTCATAAACTGTGACCTTGAACAGGTCACTTCCTCCCTGTCAGCCTATTCAATATTTACACATCGAACCTTATGCACTATCCAAGGTATTAGCTCCTCCTGGAGCTTAATCTGAGATTCAGCTTTGGGAACAAGGATAGAAACTGTGCCTAAGGGTCAGGTGCAAACCGCCCGTGTCGCCCGTGTCGCGGGGGGTGGGGGGAAGGAAGCATCTATTCCTTAGTGGAGAGAGGGAGAATGGCCCAAGGCAGCGCATTCCCCGGCCGAGAAGCAAGTCTCCAGGCTGCCATCATCCTCCTCGCCCATTCGGGGCGGCCCAGACCAAGAGCAGCGGGTAGCCGCAGCTAGGAGAGTCGTGAAGAGTCGAACGGCGCAGGAGCCTGGAGTAAGAGTCCAGCATGCCTCAAGTGAGGCCGCAGTGAAGTCCCTGAGCGAAGGGCAGGCGGCTTCGCAGCTCCCTCCCCTCCCGGTGAGGCTCTGGGCTCTGAACGCAGCCTCTGCCTCCAAAGCGACTTCCAAACGGGGAGCCGGGAACTCACCGATTGACGCCATCTTGGAGTCCTAGTGTCCGCCGAGCCGGGCCACGCAAGGGGTGCTGGGTAGGGAGCACGCGCCCCAGCGGACGCTGGGAGCAGAGGCTCACGGGAAGCAGGTCATCACTGGTAGTAGGGTGGGCGCACAGAGGTTCCATGATGGGGAAGGCGACGTTCCCAGAAGTTTGGGTTCTCTACTTAAGAAGGTGGGAAGGGACCACAAAAAAAAAAAAAAAAAAAAAGAAAGAAAGAAAGAAAAGAAAGGGACCAAAAACAAAAGAAAAAGAAAAAAAGAGCATTTTGATTTTCTTACTGTATACCCTTAAATTTGTTATGAGGGGTTGGGGTTATGGGTCAGTGGTAGAGCTCTTGCCTAGCATCTGTGAGGCACTGGGTTCCATTCTCAGCACCACATATAAATAATTAAAGGCCCATCAAGGACTAATAAAAAGATATTTTTTTAATTGTTATGAGGAATGAGAGGGGCATAGCACGTTCTTTCTTCTAAGCTGTGAAGTATGAGAGGCAAGCTGAAATTCTCAAAGAATTCACAGGAGCCAGGAAAAACTGGTGTTCAGACTTAGGCTCTGCAGAGGTTTGACTCAAGAGCACCTGTAGGTGTCCAGGCTATGGGCTGTTCTCTGAGGACAGAAATAACACTCTAGGGAGACTATCAAGATAGACAAAGCTGGATGCTAGTTAAAGGTGTAAGAACAGATTTTAATCAGTAATAAACTATTGCAAAAGGGGAGAGTCCAGTGTGAATTTTGATAGACCCAACCTGATCTTTTCTTAAAATTAGGAGCCATCTTGCCACAAAGCCATGAAAAGATAATTTCGGCTTTACTGTAAATTACTGCAAATTCTGAATCTGCTTGGACTGCCTGCCTGTGCCTTGAACTCACCCGTGCCTTGAACTCGCCCATGCCTGGCTCTCTGACCAGATAGCAGCCCTCTCTGAAACCTTAGTGATGCCTCACAAATCTTGGCCTTCCCTGGCCAGACAACGACCCTCTCTGAGGCTCTAATGAGCCTCATAAATTCTGATGTTGGGGCCAGCAAAAAATGTAAACTACCATTAGTGTGATGCTTGTCAGAGTTCTGTTATCTGTAACCCCGCTTTGTGTAACTTTCTGGGCTATAAAGTTGGGCTACAGGAAAGCTGCTGCTGCTGTCTTGTTCCCGCGGTTTTGGGAGGGAGAGGCAGCCCGGCCGGTCGAAATAATAAGCTTGCTTTAATTTGATTTTAATTGGAGTCAGTGGTCTTTTCTTGCGTCCTGGTCTAACAAATTTAACTCAACTTAGATTTGTACAGAGTTGACTCAGCCTTCTAAAGGGATAGGGAAGGAATGTTCAGGGGTCTTTGTAAAGTCAAGGAAGTGAAAAATTACAAAAACCAGGAAGGGGTCTGAAACATATAAAACCCATCTGGATTTGCTAACTGGCATTTATGGAAGTTAGACGTCTACCCTCCCACAGAGCTTGGGGCACAAGGGTGTTGGCTGGAACAAACAGAAAATTATTTTGGCAGGCTTGATCTTTCTAAAGAAAGCACTTCATAAGGGAAGGTATGGGTCATCTTAGGGATGCCCTGTTAGAAGTGAGGCTAGGGCTGTAGCTTAGTGGCAGAGGGCTTGCCTAGCATGTGTGAGGCACTGGGTTCAATCCTCAGCACCACATAAAAATAAACAAAATAAAGGTATTCTGTCCATCTATAACTACAAAAAAAAAATTTTTTTTTAAAGAAGAAAGAAACTGTGTGTCTCTTTAAGTTTGTATGGGCCAAGGTTGGTGCTGATTTGAGCAGGGGGAATCAAAGAGCCTGGCTGGTGTTTAGTCAAAGACAGAGTCATGGTCAGCTGACCGCTCCAGTGTTTTCTTCCTGCCACAGTGAGGCCTCCAGGCACAAGGATACCTCACCACCATCTTGTTTTTTTCTAGAAAGGCCACAATCTGGTATTGATAATCAAGGACTCAAATCATTGGATTCTGTCCCTCATTCAGCAATTCTGACTTGAACAAGGTGATTTGATTCTTTGAATCTGTTTCCTCTTCTATAAAATAAGGGCATAATGCTTACTGGGCATCTTTGTAGGAATTAAAGGAAACAATGTGTATGAAAATAAATGACTAAGAATTGAATGGGTAGTGAGCACACGCCCCAGCGGATGCTGGGAGCAGAGGCTCACAGGAAGCAGGTCATCACTGGTACTAGGCTGGGCGCACAGAGGTGCCATGAGGGTGGGCACAGATTACAGGTGCATGCCTGTAATCCCAGCAGCTAGGGAGGCTGAGGCAGGAGGATCACAAGTTCAACGCCAGCCTCAGCAAAAGCAAGGCACTAAGTAACTCAGTGAGACCCTGTCTCTAAATAAAATACAAAATAGGGCTGGGGAGGTGGCTTATGTTAGGTCGGTGGTGGCGATTTGGTGGCAACTTAGTGGCGACTTAGAACAAAGCAGCCAGTGAGGGAAAAGAACATCAATCAGATGCCGGCAGAAACGCCTGTCAATCAGCCAGATCTCCTGACTAATGCCTGTCAATCAGCAGGACCCCCTGGCCAATCCTGGAGTTCAGCCAACTCCCCTGACCAACTCCAGCAGGACAAGGGACCCTAAAAACACCTTTTCCTGTCCAAGCCCTTCCCTTCCTGCTGTAAGCCCCATAAAAGTCCAGTCCGGTCGAGCTTCCACGTGGTTTCTCCTCAGACCCTTCTCCTGTCCCCTCTGTGGGTCTGATCAAGTTCCACCCGGGAGTGATATCTCAATAAAGCCTCATTCAGCGGCCCTTTTAAATCTGCCTCCTTTGGTCGCTGCCCGCCTCACCTGATCTGACAGCTTAATGGTCAAATACCCCTAAATTCAATCCCTGGTACCCCCCCAAAAAATGTATGTTAGTTATTGGATCAGTAAACTGATAACTGTATTAGGAATTAATGATCAAACTTGTCTTTCATTTGTCATTTCTCCATTTATCAAACCACACTGCTCTGTACTAGGCACTGGGGATATAAGAACCAATCAGACAATTTCTCTGCATTGTAAGATGCCCTGGTGTTATGTAGCTGATGCTGTGGAGGCAGGCAGGAGCACAGCCCTGAACAAGGAGCCATCATTCCTCAGTGAGGGAGGTCAAAGAGGGCTTCAGAGAAAAGGCACTTATCTGAGCTGGCTTTTGAAAAAACAAAGAGTATTTGCCCAAATGGACAAGATGATGAAGTTCACGCCAGCACCAAGAACTGTATGTGCAAAGTTGTAGAGGACTGTGGCTATGTGGTAAGGTTAGGTCAGAATGGTAGGGATGATTGAGAAGTATGGTATTTCTGTTTGGGATGATGAAAGGATTATGGGAATGGATGGTACTGATGATTACACAACAAAGTGAATGTACTTAATGACATTGAATTGTATTCTTAAAATGCTTACAGTGATAAATATTATGTATATTTTATTACAATAAAAATACTAGTTTGGTGCAGTGGCAAAAGCCCGTAATCCCAGTGACTCAGGAAGTTGAAGCAAGAAGATCATAAGTTCGAGACCAGCCTGGGCAACCTAGCAAGAATCTATCAAAATAAAAGAATAAAAAGGGCTAGGAGTGGGGTGTAGTTCAGTGGTAGAACACCCCTCAGTTTGATTTGCAATATCACCAAAAACATCCCCCCCAAAAGAAACCCCACTCATGCAGAAGAGAAAACCAACAGTTGTCCACCTGAAAAGACAATTATCAGAGACCTAAAGCCAGCTATTATAATGATACTCCAAAAGTAAGGGTAAACACTCATTTCCAATCAAAATGAGTGGACATATATAAAGTTTCAGAAAGAAAAAAAACAATAAAACTGAATGAGAAATAGAAATTTTTTTAAAAAATATTTTTTAGGGGCTGGGGATGTGGCTCAAGCCGTAGCGCGCTCGCCTGGCATGCGTGCGGCCCAGGTTCGATCTTCAGCACCACATACAAACAAAGATGTTGTGTCCACCAAAAATAAATAAATATTAAAAAAATATTTTTTAGTTGTAAATGGACACAATACCTTTATTTATTTATTTTATTTATTTTTGTGTGGTGCTGAGAATCAAACCCCGTGCTTCACACATGCTAGGCAAGCATTCTACCACCGAGCCACAGCCCCAGATCAAGAATAGAAATCTTAGAAATGAAAAATGCAATAACTGATGTACTTACAAGCAGAATGAAGATAACACATAAACTTTTCTGAACTTCAGGATAGACTGATAGACATGATCCAGTCTGAACAACATAGGAAATAAATGTTGAGAAAAAATTTACAGAGAAATGTTGAGAAAAAATTTACCTTTGGTGTTGTGGGGCAATACCAAAATATTTTGGTCAGTGGTTTCCCAGAGGGAGAAGAGAAGTGTTGCACAGAAAAAAAAAATCTTTGAAGAAATAATGGAACAACAGGGCCCGGGATTGTGGCTCATCGGTAGAGCACTCACCTTCACCGGCGGGACCCAGGTTCGATCCTCAGCACCATATAAAAATAAAAAGGCATTGTGTTGTGTCCATCTACGCCAAAAAATAAATAAATAAATATTTTTTAAAAAAAGAAATAATGGAACAACTCCAAATTTGATAAAAGACAAACACAGATTCAGAAGTTCAGGGAACTAAAAACAGCATAAAGTCAAAGAACTCTTATGCAGGATGTCAAAATCAAAATTCTGAAAAATCAAAGACAAAACAATTTTGAAGGAACCCAGAATAGAAAGCAGTTTTACCTGAGGACTCAATGATGCGATTAAATGCAAATTTTTCTATCAGAAACAATGAAGGTCAGAAGAAAGTGGCACGAAACTTTTAAGGAAAAGAACTGTCAACCCAGAATTCTACATCCAGTGAATATATTTCAAAATGAAAACAAAGGCCAGGCATGGTGACCTGTAATCCCAGCAGTTTGGGAGGCTAAAGCAGGAGGATAGCGAATTCAAAGCCAGCCTCAGCAACTGCTGAGGCATGCACCATCATGCCCAGCTTGTTTTGTTTTGTTTTGAATCAGTGTAGTGCTATAGTTGATCTTCAACTGAAATGGTGACCTCAGCTTCCTGAGTATCTAGGAGTAC